TGAGCATGAGTAAATGTAAGGATTCATAAAATCAGCTTATTTCTAGCTTAACAACAAATAAAGTGACAGTAATAGATTAATCTCATGAACTTCAAAATTGTCACGTCTTTTTTCAAATCAATAGTGAAGGATAAGATGATGTTACATATAGAATTAAGCAGAACATTGAAATAATGTCATTTATAATGGAACATAGGAAACTTTGATTGAATACCAAAGATTCATGTCCTGTCTTTCAGCTATCTTCCAGTATAGGATAATATTTAACAGCAGATTCGATATCCTGATATTTTTCTGTAAACTAATACTAACTGTAGCTCTGGACAGGATACTAATTTGACGTAAAGTTCTTGCACTCCTCGTGTACACACTAAGTAAGCACCAGTGATGGAATCAGTTCGTGTTAGTTTTTTTCCATACAACCGATTTTATCTCTGCTAACTACAAAAGTAAGTATACGTCACAACGTATTCAACATACTATCTACCAGATAATCTGAGACAAACAGTCGTTATTCTATGGTTGATGATATTGAGGCTTCATACAGTACTTTGAGAATACATATCGAACAACATAGTCACTCAGATTTGATGACTAAGATATTCGACTCTAGAAGAAAATTTTTCATTGACTTGCAAATAGAAATTATCACAGCAAAAATAACAAAAAAAAGTGTATTCTTGTGAATATTTATTTAGAAGAGATGCTGATGAACAATTAGTCTTAGCACATGTATGGAATAAATTAGCCAATGTTGTTCAAATTCTAACAATTCATGTATTCAAAGATGATTGGTTACGTCGACAAACACATACATTCATGCAATCTCAAACTGCTAATCCAGTTCTACCAAATAATCCTTCGACTTATAATGGTTTTGTTGTTGTGACATGAAATTTTTTTTATTTTTATTTTTTCTTTTTATTAAAAAAAAAAAACAAAATAAATATGTTTAAGAGAGAGACGCAAAAAAAAAGAAAAAAAAATTGAATTAAACAGGTGATGGTGATGTATGTTGTCGCCAAAAATCTTCAACAACATCATGAATATTTCTATTTGCTTCACGCCATTCACGTTGCCATTGTCGTAATTCTTGTACTTCAGGTTGTTTACGTACACGATAACCACGATAATATGATTGAATTATTAAAGTAGCTTCTTCTTCACTCCATAAAAGTGATTTTGGTAATGGTGCACGTGGATATTTTTCAAAATGTATACGAACAAATGGAATATCTTCTAATAATTGATTTATATCAGATAATTGTTGATTTTGTTCATCAGATAAATTAATTCTATTTGGATTTTTATAATATAAATAACGTGTTAAATAATCAAGTGCATTAAATGCACTACGTTTACGTTCTAAACATTTACGTTTTTCAGCTTCAATTAATAATTGTTCAATACCTTTTAATAATATTGGATAAACATATTTTTCAAGATATTCAATTGTTGAAAGTTCTTTTGGACTTTTTTTCATTGGTGTTATTGGACGTTGAATAGAAGATTTTATTGTTTTTGTTAATTCTCGTTGAATATCTTCTATTGGTGTTAATGCATAATTAATACAAGCTGGATGAGATATTCGTGTATCAATTTGAATTTGTGATATATCATCAATTGGTACATATATATAAGAATAATTACAAAAAACTGGTGAATGTTTTGATGGATCAAAAATTTGTTTATCTGTTAAAGGTTGTTTTATTTCATTATTATCAGAATATTTTTTTTCATAATTAAGAAATGAACTCGATATAGCACCTGCTTCAGCTTGTGCACGTTTTATAGCAAATTCTCCACAAATTTCTTGCCATAAATTTGTTTCTTTACCAACGGTTATGACTGGCATAATGAAGAAATATAAGTAAAGATAATCTAGAATAAAAAAAAAAAGAAGACAAAAACAAAAAGATTTGAAGTCATTTTAATAAGTATTCTATTTTATAATATTAATGAAACTTTCAAATAAGACTTCATAAATGTAAATGAGGTAATTCTTCGTCATATATACATTTTTTATTTAAAATCTCAAGTATCCTTTATATAGAATCAAACAACTGAATAAATTGAATATTTTATGAGATTAAATGTAGTAGTTTCAAGTATGGAGCATTACAAGGTAGGTAGACGTGTATCATTGATAATTATGTTATAAATAGCTAATATTTCTATATGAATTATTCTACTTATTGAATTTCTATTACCTGTGTGTAATAAACCTGAGGTTTAGAACCAAGTCGTTTTTTTTTTCTTTTCAAACTTAATAAGGCATTATTATATAGATCTGCTTCACAGCCCTCTCAATCGTCTAGTATAGGAGATGACAAAGGATTCATTTTCAAACTTCATATAGTTCGAGAAGAAATGAACTCTTGATAAAATTATCAACGAAAAAATTTATATACACATACGATGGATACCAAAATTATTTCAACAAGGTTTATTTTCAATTTTTGTTTTTCGCTGACATAAACGTTAGAAAGAAACTAAGGAAATAAAAATGATTATTAGTTTCTCGAAGAGAAGGATTCTAGAACATCGAAACACTAGTTTTTCAACACTTCGAACGCTTAAATATAATTTTGTTTAGACTGTATAGAACAGTAAAACAAATAATTCTCTATAAAATTAGACCTATTTGAGTTTCCTGTGACATTTTATTCAGTTGCCACACAGCAATCATATAAAATTCCCTAGAGTCGTTTGTTTTTTTCTAATTTCTTATAGAAAAATTATGTTTTGGCCTTCAATCAAATAGTTGGCAAAAACATCACAAAGAACTCAACGAAGTCTTATTGTGGTAAAGAATGGCTTACACTATCATTGTATATAGTCTAAATAAAATTCTATTGATGTGCTCTACACGTTGAAAATCTGCGGTCTTGATTTTGAATAAAACTAATAAAAACTATTAACATTATGCTGAAGGTTTTTTTTTTATACATTCTTAAATAATATATATATTAATAAGTCATTTCATGCATCATCAATTGTATGTTCTAGTACAAGTTGTAACTTTTGAATTCTTTGTTATAATTATTATACTTAATTAGAGTATAGAAGTCGAAAAAAGTTTATCTCACAGAACTGAAAATACTATTGATGAAGTATAAAATGACCTTTTTACAAATATTATTTAAGAATCTATTTTAAAAAAAAAACTTAGACAATATATCAATACTTTGTATCTTCGTAGTAAATTATAATTAAGCTATATTTTTGTACTACTTCAACATATCTACATAAAATTATTTTCTGATGATAAACTTTATGTTTTGTATGAAAAATATGATTCGCAAGCCATGTGTCCTTGATAGAATAATATTTGTAAAACGTTGATATAAAATTATCATTAAATCGATCAGATAAATTGACCATAACGAGATAATACAGGTGAAGAAAAACATGAAAACATCTATAATTAAACGACTAAAAGCACAATCCTTCGTTTCATTTGTGAAGAAACATTCCAAGACTAATAAAATTTATCCTTCAAAACATATCTCGATATTAAAAAAAAATTCAAACAACCATCCTGAAATCAATCTCCATGCACTTGACCTTTTTTTGATCTTCAATATAGATAGATGTCGTCAATCTTTATTTCTTTTCATTGCTAATTGATTCGTTGTTTAATATCCAATGTATACATGAATAAAAGAAAGTCATTTAGTTTTATTTCATCACATTTTTTTTGTTCTTGTTCTTTTTTTTTTTTTTCTGTTGATGTTTTTTTTCTTCTTTCTATGATTATTTAGAACTGAATTTTTTCTTCGTCGTTTTCATTTACTATCGTGCGTATACATTTCGAGCATAGGTAAAGGTATCATCTAATGACTCTAGTTCGTCCTTGTTTATAAAAGTAAATAGGTGGTGAGAGTAAGATTTTTTAATATTACATCTACAGTATTGTATTTCTTTTTTATCAGTACAACTGAACATCTATTTTTTTTATGGTCTTATCAATTAGCTTTTAGGTTAACATAGTTAGAGTCTAACTGTTGTTGTTGTCAAATATAAAAGCAATGAACTGGTATTGAAGAATGCATAGAAATTTTTCTTCTTTTTCCTACTAGCAAGTATGCGAGTTGTTCTCTTCATTTTTCTTTTCCGTTTTTTCCTTGTAACGGTTTCCTGAAGGCTATAGGCGAGAAAGAGAGAGAGAGAGAGGGGGAGGGAAAGGAACAAGGTTGTAGGCATGCATCAAAATCCTTTGGATAAATAATTAGGCGCAATGTCGCCGACGGCATCATCATTGTACTCTTATTATCGTTGTTGTTCTTAAGTCGTGCGTATCATTTTGTTATTTATGGCTTCTATGAATGCTGATAAGATTCAATTTCAAATCGCAATAGATCATTGTAGATAGTTATATTTGTTAAGTTGTTTACAAATTTCGAATATATCAAACATTGATCTAATTTCTTTTTTTTTTCCTCTTATCTTTCATATTCTTTTTTTGTCTATATAAATCTGTACATCAACATCCTTGACATTCGGATTAATCAAAGTACAGCAGTAGTATATTGTAATAATAATAATAATAATCAAAGAAGGTCGTCCAGTGTTTGCTATTTTCTTTCTTATAGATTTTTTTCGTATACTATATCTCTTTATTATCATATATATCTATTTTTATCGTTCATCTACAAATAAAGAAATGTCTTAGAATAACAAAATGTATGCTTATGTTGAATTATCGAATGTTGCACGAACTGATTCTATAATTCAATCATTATCATGGATGCATTATTTGCCTACATTATCATCATCATTGAATGTTTCTAATGATGAAAATAATACAAATAATAATGATAATGATGATGATAATAATCGATCAATTCCATCATCGACAACAACATCAATTCAACAATCAATTAATTTATATGATGGATGGTTAGCAACAGGTAATACAAATCATATTGTTAGTGTAACATATACATCAATAAGATCTGATGAAAATTTATCTATACCTGATCGTACAAATTTTAATTTACGTGCACATCGTACAGAAGTTCGTCTTGTTTCATGGAATGTACCATTTCAAAAATTAGCAACTGTTGATGAAAAAGGTGTTATTTTTGTATGGGTTAAACATGATAATCGATGGTCATTAGAATTAATTAATGATCGTAGTCATCCTGTTATTGATATGGCATGGTCACATGATGGACGTATGACTGTTATTTGTTATGAAGATGGTTTTGTTCTTGTTGGTTCTGTTACTGGACAACGTTATTGGTCAACAGTTGTTAATACAGCACAAGCTAAAATTTCTGCTGTAACATGGATGCCTGATGTTTCACAGTAAGAGAAAAAAGAAACTAAAAAAACAAGACTTTATTTTGTTTTTAGTGTGATTCTTGGAACAACATCAGGAAATTTAATATTAATGGATCATCATGGTAATACAACTGATGGTTTTCAATTATCAACACAATCAATAACACAATTACTTTATTCATGTAATAAATTCTATCCCGGAGCACCTGACAATAGTAAATTAAATATAGAAAATTAATTTTGAATAATAATATTATTTTTATTTTATAGATGCATTAAAATTTGTTAATGATGATTATATTCTTGCTTGTAGTCTTGATAATGGTCATATACTATTTCTTAATAATTATCAAGATCAATCACCAATAACTGTTGATACTAAACTTCGAAGTAAATGACAAATTAAATATCAAAATATTTTTTGTTTTTATTTTTATTTTAAATAGATATTAAAATGGATTGGTCATCAACTGGTGAAATTCTTGCTGTTGGAGGTCATACATGTTTAACTGATTCAATTTATAACAGTCAAATTATATTTTATACTCGTTGTGGAGAATTTTTACATCGTATTCATATTCCTCAAACGGTTTGTAATTTAATTATAGAATAGTTTATTCATATAAGTATTATAATAGCAACAAAATTAAAGTATAAGATATTTAGCTTTATGAATATTTGCGAAGACGGTGATTGATAGAAATGTGTTTGACAGATCATGCAGAAGGAAAAGAAATAATGATTAAAATATTTATTATTAGAACACATTATAACATAAAACGAACAGATGTTACCAAAATCTTCTTGTTCATAATAAAAGAAAATCTATCATGTTTTATAGCATTAATCTGTAGACAATTTACAGTCCAAAGTTTTCAATTTAATAAAAATCTCAGTTAATTAAGCATAGCATAAGAAATATCAAAGCGGAAAAAATGTAAATATGTTGATGAAGAATTCAAGATTTCTCTTCCGAAAACAGAGGCATAATTTATAATGAAGAACATTCGTAATTATCGTAATTAGACATAAACCAGATGGGGCCAACATCCGAGTCAAAACTTCATTAAGCACGATACCTTTTATGATTGTGTAAAACTTGTATCGAATGTCATATTGTCACGACGTATCTATCCTACATAGATATGGGCAAGATGTTGTCACTTGTATATAATCATAGTACTTAGTATTATACGCCATACTTGTCTATAGATTGAATAAAAAAATTTTTTTTTGTGTGTAGACACAAGCATTGTCTGCATTATGTTGGGCACATGGAAATGGTAAGCAATTGAAATAAGAACAACAAAAACAAAACTAATAATTTTAAATTTATTTCTAGAACGAATATTTGCTGCATGTGGTTCATATGTTTATACAATATGGATAATACATAAACCTCTCGCATCTATGTTAACATTATGTCAGATGAAAATAAAAGAATATCTATTAAATAATTCTTTACAAAATATTGATAAATTATTTTTACCAAATAATCTTAAACAAAATCTTCAAAATTATTATCGTACAACAATAAAAGGTTTTTTACCTGAACAAAAAACTTTA